TTGAGGGACAGATATGTAGCTCAGTGCACTTGTCTAGTATATACATTTAATACCCCAACACTGCCAAAAAGAACAAAAAATAAATAAAACTAAAAAAAGCTGGGCACTGGTGGCTCATGCCTATAATCCTAGCTATTCAGGAGGCTGAGATCAGTGGATTGTGGTTCAAAGCCAGCCTGGGCATCATAGTCTGTGAGATTTTTATCTCCAATGAACAACTGAAAAAGCTGGGAGTTGTGGCTCAAGCAGTAGGGCACTAGCTTTGAACTTTTTAAAAAATAGATCAGGGAAAGCCAGACACTGGTGGCTCATGCCTGTAAACATAGCTAATCAGGAGGCTGAGATCTGAGAATCATGTGTTAAAGACAGCTCAGGCAGGAAAGTCCATCAGATTCCTATCCCCAATAAAAACTACCTGTACTCAGAAAAAGCCAGAAGTGGCACTGTGGCTCCAAGTGGTAGAGCCCTAGGATTGAGCACAGGGAGGCTCAGGAACAGAGCCCAGGCCCAGAGTTAAAGCCCTAGGACCACCAAAAAATTAAAAATTAAATTAAAAAAAATAAAAATAAAAAAGGAAAAAAGATCAGGGACAGCACCCAAATCCTGGCCCTGAGTTCAAGCCCCAGAACCAGAACACATACACAAAAGATTATGTCTAAAAAAGCAAAAGATGTCCAGTTTATTTTAATACCTGTCACTATTACCAATATTATTTCTAACTTTTAGTTTAATATAAAACAGTGAATTTTTAACACTGTGCTGCTCAATAGCTTTGGAATACAAACTCAGGACAGTCTTCCTTGGTGTATTCTCAAGATCACACTAGAAAATAAAGAATGATGGCTTTCTCTGTCAAAGGAATCAAATGACAGACTATAGGAAAGCAGAATAAACTTTTTGCTACTTACCACCCTTTGTGTTCTCAAAATTAAAATTATAATTTCTTAGAAACTTTTTTTTTTTTTGGTCGGTCGTGGGGCTTTTAACTCTGGGCCTGGGTGCTATCCCTGAGCTCTTCAGCCCAAAGCTAGTACTCTACCACTTGAGCTAAGCACCACTTCCACTTTTTATGTGATGCTGAGGAATCAAACCCAGGGCCTCATGCATGGGAGTCAAACACTCTTACCACTGAGCCATCTTCCCAGATAGACTTCTAAATACAAATGATCAACATCAATTTGGATATGAAAGCAAAAGTACTCATTAGCTAACAACTCACATCACTCATATTACATTTAGGAAGACATCACAAAGAAAGCAACAACTAATCTTGAAACCACTTTCTGAAGCATTACCTCAATAAATTGAGGCATTAACAGAAGCTCTGCAGAAAGTTATATACTACCTGCCTTTCCAGATTAAATAGATGTACTTATTAATACAAGCTAACCAGGTAACTGTATCTGAGTATATGGACATCTTTCGTTTTCTTAGACAAAACAAAGGGCTACGTGCCTTATGAAATCAAATTGTGTATATGACTTTCTCCAAAATCCAAAATATGTACATCATCTTTTACCTGCTTTACTTGTTGACTGAGTTAAAAGACTTTATAGACTCCCCAAAATTAACCACTGCTTCAAGAAATACACTACAAAAATATACTTTAAGCCAGGCATGGTGGCTCATGCCTGTAATCCTAGCTACTTGGGAGGCTGAGATCTGAGGATCTTGGTTCAAAGCCAGCCCGGGCAAGAAAGGAGGATTGGGTGGGAGGGCTGGGGGGGGGGGGAGAAGAGAGATGGGATTAAAAAAAAAAGAAAGTCTGTAAGACTCTTATCTCCAATTAACCATTCAGAAAACAGGAAGTGGCACTGTGGCTCAAGTGGTAGAGCAATAGCCTTGAGCTGAAGAGCTGAGGGAGAATGCCCAAGCCCAGAGTTCAAGCTCCACGAATGATCAAAAAAAAAAAACTTTAAAATTAAATATTTAGTGATACAATCAGTAGGTAGCTCATTTTACTCAAAATATTGTCTCCTCTAATTCTGAGCAGAAACACACTGAAATAAGATTGCAGAAGTTTACAGAAAAGTAGAGCTCTGAAGAGGCTAAGTAACACAAGCAGACTAACAATTTGATGCCAACTCTCTACAACCAATTCTACCATTTCACTATGCTGCTTCTCTGTTTTAAAAGGAACTGAGACATATTTTTCCTTACAACAGTAAGGACATTTGCCTGAATGATAAAAGCAAGCTAAAGTTTAAAACCACAATTAGGAGCTGGGCACTGGTGGCTCACGCCTGTAATCCTAGCTACTAAGGAGGCTGAGATCTGAGTAACTCAGTTCAAAGCCAGCCCAGGCAGGAAAGTCTGTGAAACTCATCTCCAATTAACAGAAAGATGAAGTGGCGCTGTGGCTTAAGTGGTAGAGTGCTAGTCTTCAGCTAAAGAGCTGAGGGACAGCGCCCAGGCCCAGAGTTTAAGCCCCATATCCAACAAACAACAACAAAATTGCAACAAGGCTAGGTAGCTCAATCCTTTAATCCTAGCTACTTAGCAAGCAGAGATCTAGAGGAACACAATTTGAATGAAGTACTTGCAGTACGTGGCTGGGAAGGAGGAGTGCTGATACTGCAGCTCATTCAGTGGTTGGTGGCATCTCAGCATCATGGGAAAACACAAAAACAGACTGGATTTACAATCCAGTCTAACCCAGGCATAAAGGGAGACTATCTCATAAATCATCAATGCAAAGATGATTGTGCTGGTGGAATGGCTTATGTTGCTGTCCAGCACTTGCCTAGACATCCTCAGTACAAACCCCAATAATGCAAAAATATTTTTTAAAATTAAAAAAACAATGTTAAACAAGGTTAGTGTCTCAAGTGGTAAAGTCTATGCCTAGCAAGCACAAAACCATGAGTTCTCTACCAATACTACCAACAAAAAAAAGTTTTTACTCTCTTACATATGAGTACTAAACAGAAGAGATAAAATGATAGTTCATTTGGCTGGCAAGTATAACATTTTCCCCTCTATGGCACTAGGGATCAAATCCAGGACTTCCTACTATTAGGCAAGCATTCTACCAGAAAGCTACATTCCTAGGCCTAAGGATGACTTTTTAAAATGCCAAAAGGTTAATGATGAACCTTCTAATGAAACACATGAATAAAAACTCTACTGTATTTTTCTATAAATCTTGCTAAAAAAGGTGTCAACTGAGGGGCTGAACTATTCTGATATATTCAAGAGTGGGCTGATAACACATATTACAATCACTGATCTGGAAACTTAGTTTGCAGGAACTTGCTATCAAAATAAACTTCTAAGAATATTTAAACAATTATTTAAAATAAAAAAAAATAAACTGGGAGCCAGTAAGTAGTTCATGCCTGTAATCCTGGCTCCTCAGGAGACTGAGATTTGATTCAAAGCCAGCCTGGGCAAGAAGTCAGTGCAGGCAAGAAAGTCTGTGAGACTCTTATCATCTCCAATTAACCACCAAAAGCTTTAGGTGGAGCTTTGGCTCAAGTAGTAGAGAGCACTGTTGGCCTTGAGCAAAAAAGCTCAAGGACCCGAGTTCGAGCCCCAAGACCAGCAAAAAAAAAAAAAGAAGAAAAAATCAGGAGAAAACAACAAAAAATTAAAAATACTATACCAATTTAGCAAATAATACAGTTTTTAAATGCTCACCTCAAAGATGTTAAGATAATTATACCAAATTTTAAATCAATAACTCAAATATTTTTGATTAGTTATCTGAAAATGGTATTAAATACAGAAGCAGTATTTTCAATTACTTATTATTGGGCTGAGATCAAGGCTAAGTGCCTAGCCAGAATAAAGCCTTGAGTTCAAATCCTAGTATGGTCCTCCCAAAAAACACAAAGAATAATTACTTATTAATGGAAATCAGAACTATGAACAGTAAAAACTAAGCATTGTTTGTATAACACCAAGAAGAAAGATTACTCTTACTGGACCACAATGAATGCTCTTTTATGTTTTTGCACACATTCTCTATTAAAATAATCTCTGAGGGCTGGGAATGTGGCTCAGTGGTACAAAGTGCTTGCTTATCACGCATGAAGACCTGGGTTCGATTCCTCAATACTACATGAACAGAAAAAGCTAGAAGTGGTGCTATAGCTCAAGTGGTAAGAGTGCTAGAGAGCAAAAGAAGCTCAGGGGCAGTGCCCAGACCCTGAGTTCAAAACCCCAGAATTGGCAAAAACAAAAACAAAAAAATCCTCTGAATAAAATTGTTTAAATTCTCCAAAATTCAAGATGTTTCTGTTTTTTTCAGAAAAGTATGCTACATGTATAACAGCCAATTTCTGCCTTCCTCAAATGTAATTAACAAGCCCATGGTATGCATAACAAAACTACACTATCATATGACTTAACACTAGTGAAGAACTGTTCAAAAGGTATGTTCAACCATTATTTCTCTAATTCTTTGGTCAGTTTTATACAATAGAAAAAGCTTTAAAAATAAGCCGGGCACTTGAGTACCCGTGGCTCATGCCTGTAATCCTAGGTACTTAGGAGGCTGAGATATGAGGACTGGGGTTCAAAGCTATCTCAGGCAGGAAAATCTGTGACACTCTTATTTCCAACTAGCCACCAAAAAGCAGAAATGGAACTGTAGCTCAAGCAGTGGAGCAGTTGCCTTGAGCAAAAAAGCACTCAGGGACAGCACCCAGGCTTTGAGTTCAAGCCTGAGAAGGAGCACAAAAAAAGTCTTAAAAATAATAAACATCTTCGCAATTCATAATATATCCTAAGAATGATTTGACTGATCTATGAATAATTAATCTTAGTATTTCTTATTTCCACTCATTCAAAAAATATGCATTTATGTAATAACAGTATTACTTTACCTACCACTTCTTATTTCTCAAAAGAAACTGAAAAACAAAACTGCAGAAAAATTTCTAAAGGCTATTTTAAAATTCACTAGGGAAGTTCGTACAAAAACTAAAGTCAGCACATGGTTGAAAACAGATGTCACTACAGCAACCCCAAAGGAAAAGATGAAGGAATGTACTTACGTTTCAAAACAACGATCCACGTTGTCAGACATCAAAAGCAGCATGCATAGCTGTTCGAGGGCTATTAGTTGCATGTCCCTTTCATCTCCCTGTCCCATCTGTAGCCATTCCAGCAATGTATCCGGATCCACATCTGCCATGGTTTTTTAAAAGCCTCTTCGCTTAAATTTTAAAAAAAGTAAAGGGAAAAAAGTTCTTCACATGCCCACAACTAATGAGTTTCAGTTTGATTGTTTTTTCTATGTGCAAGTACCAAATTTTCACGGTGTTCTCCTAGGAATTAAACTCCTAGGTATGCTTCAATAGGATGCTTAATGCAGTTTTCAGCGGCCCTTAGTCACCAGGTTTAATGTTGATACACTAAAAACGAAAACCACTTTAGCCCAGAAGTATAAGCTGATTAGGTTGCTGCTTAGCCAGAAACCAGAGCTGTCTTGGTCAAAGACAGGCAAACAAGCTTCGGGTCCTGCGACCGCTATCACTCACGTCTGTGCCAAAAGGCAAAGAACACCTACAGAAAGTTTTGGGTTCTTGCCTCCCTTCCCCACCACTCCCCATCCCGCTTCCAGAAGGAGGAGAGAAAACAAACAACTTCTTCCCCACTCCACCCCAAATTGGTATTTAGATAAGGGATGGCCTCAGATCCAATATTTTGTCAAGACTTTAAACACCTGATCCACTCCTCTCCAAACTAAGTTTCTCCTCTGCCTCCAATTTCATAAAATTGTGCTCAACTCTCACATTTACGAGGGGGAGGAGGGCAGCAGCTAAGTCATTACAAAGGCTTCTCCTTTCAGTGCCCTGAACGAAGGACAGCGTCCGTTTCACCTAAGCCGGCTGCAGGTGTAGGGACGCGAGCGGCGGGGCGCGGTGGGCACTCAACGGCGGCGGCCAGAAGGGCTGACCCCACATCCCCGACCCCCCAGGCGAGCCTGGCTGGGGCGGAAAGGCGCTGGTTACGAAGCCCGCGAACCTGTGCGGAGGAGCCGGGAGAAGAGGGAAGTTCTGGAGGAGGAGGAGCAGCCACCGAGAGCAGGGCAGAGCAGGGGAGGGCGCCGAGTCTCCAGACAGAGCGCCCGGAACTTGGAGGCCCGGCAGGACGTCCCCGCTCCCCGCCCGGCGGCGGATCCTGCTCAAGGGCAAGGGGGGGGACCCAATTTGGGCTCCGGCACCGGCAAACCCGGGGGCCCGCCTCTGGCAAGGCCCCGGGAGACGAACAAAGGGGCCAAGCCGGGGTGGGGGTGGGGGGTGAGGGAATGGCAGCAGCCCGGCTAACCTCCCTCGCGCCCGGGTCTCGCTCCTCGCCCGCCGCTGGGCGTCCCGGATCTCGGTCCCAGAGGCCTGGCCCTTCCGACGGCCCAAAGGCGCTCTCACCTCCCCTTCTCGCGGGCTCTTACCCAGGCTTGGCGTCCCAAACTGCTCCCGGTCCAGCTCCCAAAGCAGGCCGCGGGCAGAGCCAGGCCCGGCCGCGGCCCTCGAGTTCCCAGGAAGCCGCAGGCCGCGCTGGTCGAGCCCGGCAGGCGGCACAGGAAAAGCCGCGTCTCGTCCCTCCCCTTCCTCCGGCGGGGACCTGGTGACAGGGGGGAGGCGAGAGGTTTCCCCTCAGCAGCGGCGGCCGACGGCGGAGGTCGGGTCCCCGGCACGCGGCTCCTCAGGCCCTGCAGTTCAGAGGGAGGCCCGCGCGGGGTTGCCGGCGGCGGCGGCGGGGGCAGGCCGCGTCCATCGCGATCCGGGAGGGGGA